CTGCGTTCACGCCCACCACCAACACACTTCCTAGCAGACATGACGCTCAATCTTTTTTTTGCGGGCGGTAAACAGCAGCTAGGTTAGTACCGCGATCAAATAAATCTTTTGCTGCAGGCCGGGCGCTTCTGTCTCCTTGAACCCCAGTGGGCCTCAGCAGATGGCCGCTCACACTGAGCCTGGTTCTGCTGGAGGTTTCTTCCTGTTCAAAGAGAGTTTTTCCTCTCCACTGTCGCCACAAGCATGCTTAGTGTGAGGGATTGTATTCGAGTCAATGAGTCGATGCAAACAACTGGTTTCCCTTAGATAGAAAACTTTGAATCAATCTGACTGGATGATCTGGTGAACTGTGAAATGCCTTGAGATGACATGATGTGAATTGGCGCTATAGAAAGAAACTGAATAGAATCAATACCATGTAATTCTATGATAATAACATAGCGAGTGAAACTATATTACTTGGTAACAAGAAAAACCTTATTTTGTAATTACCAAAAAATGAAGGTACATAATGTCAAAGTATTGTGTAAAGTAGATTTTAAGTTATGATCAGGTAAATAGAGCATTATAAAACTGAACTCAGGCTACATATCAGTAAGAGTTTAGTTAAGAAGCTTGGCTTACTGTCTTCTAGGTTTTCTGTTATATGGCGAGTAATAAACTGTATTTTACTAGAAAATTACACATTAATCTATCGCTGAGTTCCCTGGTTATAACATCATGAAATCTAAGACGACTGACTTCACCTTATCAGCCTGAAATTTGAAGCACAGCACTAACCAAAATTCCCAATAAAGTGTTTCTTGTTACCTAGCAACATAGTGTAACTTGCTATGTTATTACCATGTTATTACAAGGTTATTGTAAAAGAAAGGATAAAGATTTTGCATAAAGATAAAAAAAACATATTTTTCATCTGTCAATCTGCTCTACAATCCAAAGCTCCTCAAGTGGAAAAGTTTTAGTTTCACCTGGTTTGATTCTGTAAAAAACTGTTCTATGAAGAGCTTTTGCTAATCTGATTATAAATTGATTAACCGAGAAAAATATTTGACAGATTACTCGATTTGCAATCTTACCGTTGGGTGCAGCCCTAGTCCTAGTCACCTACTGGTGAACGTTGGCAACAGAAATCTGCTGTTTGTTGATTATTCTTTGCTCTTTATGCTGCATTAACTCAACCAGATTAAGGATAAATTCTACTGGAACAAAGAAGGATAACAGCTCAGGCACTAAGTGATAAAGTGACCAATATGTGGAACATAGTGTTGGGACCCCTCCCCCTGTGACCTGGAGGAAGAGCCCCAGCCTAAGCAGATCTAGGAAACAGATGGATGAAAGCTTTTCAGCTCCACACTAGAAGGACATAATCCAGGCCTCAGGTTCTGCAGACTGAAAACAATGACATGGTTTCACTACAATGACTTTAACTGGAACAGGTTGGCTTTCTAAGTGGACCCAGTGACCTGATGCTGCATCACTGCTCAGCATGTGAAGACTGCTGCAAGCTCTAAATGCATCTAACATGCCCTGATTGGACCAGGGGAGGGATTCACCATTAGCCAAAACTAGCTACTGGGGGCCCATAAAACTCTGTTTCCATGTATGGTTAATACAACTATTCCTTATTGGCGCACATTAATGA